AAATAGTGGTCAGCTGCCAAATAACTGGAAGGATCTATCAAGTAGGTTACCTAGAAGGATGTCCTGGTTCCAGAAACATTAGTTTCATCTGTGATTTAGATCACGTATAACAGAATGCTATAGTAAAATCTGCTGGTAACACTTATGTATTATGGGTTGTGAGCACTTTGGAGACAGGTTTAGAATCCAGAACTGGCTTGCTAAATTGGATAAAGGCTCGGAAATCAAAAATATTCCTTCAGTTATGATAAGTGCAGAGACCTGTGTTTAAGAAGGTGATACCAAATGCACAAATACAAAATGGGAGCTACGTATCTCGGCAGCAAGAGGGTAGAAAAAGTTCAAGTTCTATAGCAAGTCACAAACAGAGCAAGATGTTCTCCCAAAAGGCAAAAAAAAAAAAAAAGTAAACTTCACTTTGGGGTACATGAACAGAAATTTGAGGTTTAAAATAATAAAAGTAATAATTCTTTTGTATACAGAACTAATGGGGCCTTAGCTGACCTTATTTAACTACGTATATTAATGGTATCCACAGAGAGGGCGCCACTGCTCAGGAGGGATGCGACCATACTGCAAAGTGTCCAGAGGAGGATATAGAAATGATAAAATGTTTAGAAACTAATTATTATAAGGTGGAAAGAACTAAGGTGATTTAGCAATGCAAAACAGTTGAAGCTGAAAGACCCACCAGCCAGACATCCTACTGAAAGATTTCCTGTATCAGTTAAATACCTGCATTTTGCTTGAGAAGCATATGCCTTTTCCCATATTTTTGTGGTAATTCTTCTGGATGTCCGGGACCTCAGGCTACTGAATTTCAAAAAGGAGTTACTGTCACCATACACAGATAATTACATATGCCGTACAGCTCAATCAGACTCACTCACCGTGTGTGAAATGCTTTGTCTCTCTGTCTCTCTGTCTTGATTTCTGTTTTTATGACTGGCCATTAAGATTGTGTCCAGGAATATAAGGAAGATAGCTTATTTTTTAGTCTAGAAATCAGAAGTCTGAGTAAGGGACGAGATGGTAGCCCTAAGTATATGTATAAAAAATAACCCTATAGTTAGTTATAGACAGTGATCAATCGGTCTGTGTGTCCTCTGAGGCTAGCTGAGATGTGATTAATTTATATAAGGAAGATTTAGGTTGCAAAACAGGAGTAAGAATTTGTATTACACAGCTTTCTGCAATGTGTTATCCAAAGTCTACTTTGTTGAATGATTCAGTAGATGAACTTGGAAATTAGCTGAAAGTAGATCTCTTTACTCATTAGCTATTAATTTCTAACTGGAGTGGTACCTCCTTAGGTTAGTAGTAGCATTATCAGCTGTAAACAGTAATACGTTAACCAAATTCAAATTATTTAATTATTTTACTGCACTTTTTGCATTTACAAGTATTGTTAGTACAATTTCATTGTTGTCTTGGCTATAATCAAAGCGACAAAGAAATATTTCCCTTTGGATTTGTCGTAATAAGTAGCTGCAAAAACATTTTGCTATTTCTATGCTTTGAGGTCTTAATAACTGCAGGAAAAAAGAACAAAAAAAGCCCAAACCAATTCCTCATTCCAATAAATCTTTAGCTAGTTTCACAATTAAGAAAGTAGACAATATAATGCTGGCAATGTATTTGCTTGGTCCTGCTGAGATGCATGATTTTATCTTAGGGGAGTGTGTGTCCTGGGAAACAGTTCTATTTAATTTGCACCCATAATCAAGTGATGTGATTTTATTTATATAGGAAAAATTTATGAATTTTATTTAAAAGTGGATTTCAGCAAAATGTGGCTCATAACCTTAGGTAATCACATTGAGAGGGCTTACAGCAGTGATGAAATTGATTCATTTGAATTCAGTCTCTCAAAACTTTCATTTGCTTTGCTAACCTAAAAGATTCACCAAACTACAATAGCTAGTAGTGATTAGCCCTACTGTTTTTTGTTTTTTTTTTCTGCTAGCTACTCATCATGACAATGTCCCAGTGGTTTCAAATCAGACATAGCCTGGCATTTCTCGGACATGGACGAGGATAAGACCCAAGAAGTGCTTAGGGGACTTTTATTCTGGAACTCATTCCAGATGTTGAATCAGATTGAGGACTGTCACCAGAGTACTTATGCCTTCTTGGACGGCAAGGTGCTTGTAGTGACATCCTGTGCTTTGCCAGCTTTGAAGGAGAATTAGCGAGACTATGGAAGTTATCATCTCCTATTAACTAGGAAAGGGTTTAGAGTTCCTGTGATTTAGCCCAGTCTTGACTGTGAAGCAGAAGCAGAAGATTCCCATATTCTTCTCAACTTCATATTACAGCTTTCATTGACCATATCAGTATCATGCATAACATGGTCCATCTTATGCATGTAGTCTATAAAATCATTCTGGAGGTGCAGTAAGACTAAGAGTGCGGGTATAAGTGGCTGCAGGATGGCGCTGGGAAGTTTGGCTCAGATCGCAAGCCTTTAGTCATAATCCAATATTGAATGAAGTGGACCCCACACCTAAGAATTTCAAGAGTAGTGCTTAAAAATATCACTTATGAGATATTGCCTAAAACACAAAAATTATAATTGCTACATTGAAATTATGCAGTGCCACCAGGAAAGGGTTAACGACTGATTGGAACTGAAGAATTGTTCATAATGGGCACAAAACTCCATCTACTTTCACAGTATGAGCAGGAAAAATTATGGTACTATCTATACCATCCATTTCCTTTTCCTCTGATGCATTATAATAGCATCTAAAGAAAGTACTAGCCGGCACGTGGTTTTCTATATTATGCAAACTGAACTTTTCAAGTCCATGAAGGATGTTAGCAAAAGGTGTTAGTCTTGTACACTGATCATTACCAGTTTTAAAGGGTGAAAGCCTGAACTGCAAATTTTAGGTTAGCTTCTTTGTCTTTCTCTCTCTACCTGTCTCTGTTCCTTCCTTTCCTTCCCTCCTCCTTCCCTTTGCCTTTTCTCTTCTCTTTTCTTTTCTTTTCTTTTCTTTTCTTTTCTTTTCTTTTCTTTTCTTTTCTTTCTTTCCCTTCTTCATGATGATAAGCAGAGTCTTGTAAGACAACATAAAAGTGTGATAAAAGACAATTGTTCAGAGAACACATCTAGGAGAGAAGAGAATGCTTTTGTCATTTGTTAGGCACTCAAGCAAGTGCTACAGTAAACAAAAGACTTTTATCCTGTTTAGAGATACTTCTGCTGAGCCAGCAGCAAAAACTAGCAAATGTTTGTGGTTCAGTTACACATGCCTGGAGTGCTTAAGTTGTGTAGCTTTAGCAGATATGTGTGCCACTTTATGTCTGCTTCACTGGCTACATTCACGATGTGCACAGATGAAGATGGACATCAAACAGCATCAACTACAGTATCCAGGGTGAAGAACAGTATATATCAGTGATGCTTTGTGTACTGTAAAGGCTGAGTCCCTTAGCACAGTAAAGCGCAGTGAATTATGAACCCCCTGACCTAAAAGTCTAATTTCTGTATTTTAACTCAGGGTTTGAATTTCTTTTTGCATGGTTACTTACCCAAATGCCTATAGTGTACAAAATCCAGGATTCTGACTCTCTGCTTAGCTCTGTAAGCACAAAATTTCTCTCCAAAACTGTTCAGAATGATTCCTAACTCAGGCACCTCCAAATTTGTATCTGAATTAGCCCATGTCACTCCATGGGGCGTGTGGTCAAGAACTGGCTACAGCAAGGCATTCTCACCCTTGACTGCACAACATGAAAGGTTTGTCCTCCCTCCTGTTGCCGTTGAGCTGCTGTGCAGCTAGGCAAGCCATGAAGTTCATACAGAGCACAAGCAAAGCAAGCATCAGATGCCCTCTGACATCTTAGGGGGCATAAGTGGGAGAGGGCAAAAGTGCAGTTGTGGTCCCAGCTCCCTTTCTGGCTTGCACTCAGATGAGCTTCTAACATCAGGCACCAGAAACAGTAGGAGGACCCTCAGCCTTTCCCTCACAGCCATGAGATTATAGCTACCCTTCTGGGGCTCACCGATTTTGTTTTCTTGGCTATAAAGAGTCTATCAGGTGGATAACCCATCTTATAGCCTGGCAACTTTGAGCTGTGCTCCCGGAGCTAAAAGCTGCGAGTTCAAATCTTTCTGGAGCTGAGGAAGGATCACAATGGAGTTTTTCAAATTTCCTTTGTTGTTAGAGGATGTTGGAGGATGAGAAATAAAACTCTCTAAGTGAAGGAAGCGGGTTTCACAAAGATGCTATGCAGCACTCTTGGATTTATGTCCGAGAACAGAGTTTCAGGTGCACACTTCTTATCGCTTTCTTTTGGGCGTTTTAGGTGTATCAACATGCTAGCTCTTCAGTGCCTATGTGGTAACTCTATTTTTACCCTATTTTGCACAGGAGTTTTGACAACCAAATCCCACTCTTGGAGCTTGTCATCTAAGTTTCCACATGCAGCATTTGAACTTGGCAGGAGCTGAGGCCTTTTGATGAAAGACTGTCCAAAGGAAATGGCTGCAAGTGACTCTTCCAGCTGTGCTTGTGAGCCTGCCCCTGCACCCTGCCCTAAAAAGACTCTCTCCAACTGCAAGGGGCACTGAATCAGGTACTGGGCACTCAGGCATTATTTGCATAGGTATATCCATTTCTGATTTTATAATGAAGTATCAGAGAGTTAGAGACTGTGATATCTTTATGTTGTGTTTGTAGAGGACACTTAGCGGAGAGTAGTATTTTTATTTCAAGTGATTTATAAAACTAAAAGGTCTTTCTCCTCTTTCAATTCTTTTAGAGGTGATCTTTTTTGATACTAAGTAAACTTAAATTATTCTCAGCTGGCACTGAGAATACCTCAGCTTAGGTGTTGAGATATTATAGCAATCAAAAAAAAAGTTTAGGAAAAAAGTTTTTTTAAAAAAGTTTAAGAAATCTCATGTACTTTTATTAAAAGACAACCTTTCTTAACAGACCACAATCTTAGATCCTATGTTAAATTATAACTAAATATGTGCCTGACTGTACAGCATGTGGGAAATTAGTATTGTAAAAAAAAGTCATACCAGAACTAAACATCACACAGGTAAAGTAACATACAAGAGCTTCCAAGAACACTGGGCAAAAGTACCAATGAATGGCATCCACAACGATTTCAGTATATAGGCATTATAAAACATAAATCACTAAGTCAATTTTGCACACGCAAAGGACTAGGCTGATAATTTCTCAGAGCATTAATCACTGATATTTTTGATGATCCTGAGTCGTAGTAATCTGGGAATTCTTAATGCTGCACCAGATCATGTAAGAATAATTGATTAATAGCTGCAATGCAATCTGAAATCTGTGCAGATCTGACCGCTGGAGAATCTCCTAAGCACCGAGGAGCTCTGGGGTGCAGGGTGTCACCATCTGGGCAGTTGGCACCCTGGCACTGGCTGCCAAGGAGGACAAGGAGAAAGGTGCAGGAAGGGACTGGTAACAGCAGTAAAAGCTTTCAGGGGTTTTCAGCAACAACACATACGACGCAACAATTTTTAAATTGTTGTAATTAATATGAGAACTGGCTTGGTATCTAAGCCTAATCAAAAAACTAGAACGATGAGGGTATAAGGCATTTTTCTTCTCTCTACCCTTTAACTACTGCACTGAAAGTTCCTTAGCCAGTCCTCAGGCTATAGGCCTGGTTGTCCTTAAACTAGCAAGACCCATGAAGTAAACAAACACAGATACTTTATTTTAAAAGTATATAAAGGAATTTACACTGTGAGATTGATCTGACTGATCTGCATAGTAAAAGAATAGCGCAGAACCTTTTTCCAGGATATACTTCTTTTGTACAGTTTTGTTCTTAGCTTCTGGTAATCTGAAAGCATGTCTTCCAAAAACAAAGTAAAATATACTAAATGTAGCATAGCCTTTAAAAAGGATAACAAAGACCTCATACATCTCCCCTGCAGAAATACGTGGTAAAACCTTCATTTAACTCATCGGGAATGGGACAGTAAATAAATAGTGTGTCATAAATATTATTTACGTGCTAATATGCTAGTTTAATTAAGCTTATCTGAGAAAAAGAAAAAATATATACCTTTTATATGAACATAATGCACAAAGCAACTTACAAATAGATAATGTACTCATCATATATTAATAATCAGCTCATAAAATAATTACAGATGCATTTCTACCATTTGCCACAATATTCATGAACTCTGGACAAAGCAATGAATATAATAGTGACATAAGAAGAGCACATTTTCTGCTTGCAATGAACACGGTGCCCTGTGCACACAGAATCAAATCCACCCAATGGGTACCTAGGCAGCCAAGGATTTTGAGCTTCTCTTTTTCCCCCATTTTAACCGTCTTGGGTGAATTCCAGTCAATATTTACCTCTGCACAGCAGAGTTCTTTATTTCAACTAAAAGTGTTCTTAAAAGCCTTAAAAATTAATTAGTAGTAATGTCAGCTTCAGTTCAAAGATTATGCCTGACTCTTCCTGAAACTTTAAGCAAAATAAGAAAAATATAAGCCCTGGTGAAACACCACCTTCCCACTACTACTATGTCATTCACTCACAACCAGTTTACATATAGGATATAATCTGTCAAGAACCTCATGCTTGCTCATTTCATTCTGTCACTAATTTATCATATTACAACAATTAAGATGCTAGTCACAGAAGTCAATTTATTTATAAGTCTACATTTCATTTTGATAACTGCTATAAAAACATATGGCACAACAAACGACTTCAGCTGAATCGTTAGCATCTGAATTATTCTGTCAGATGCTAAAAAAAAAAAGACTTAGTTTAGGGAAATTCTGTGATGTGCATTATATAAGAAAGAGTTCGGACACAATGGTCTTTCTTACTATATTGTCAATGATTCTATGAATAAGTCAAAAAAAAAAAGAAAAGAAAAGAACAAACAGCTGAGAGTTATGCAGCACACACTGAGCTTCAGTTGTTTCCATCATGCTTGAATAATCTTGAAATTACCAACACGATCAGACAGGCGATACCTAGGATCCTTAAAGTAAGAGCTCTCTATCAGCTGGCTCCCGCTCTGTGCCTGCAAGGTCAAAGCATTGCATAGACCACGGATTCCCTGTTTCTGTGCTATACATTCTTCTGGGGAGACACAGTACAATATAATTTAAGACCTAGCTATTAAGCTACTAGTAAACTACATACTATAAAAATCCTACACACTGTATTCTGGCATTACAGAAATCGTGGCTGATGTATCAACTCTAAATAAGCACCATCAGAAATAAATATAAACCATCTAATCCAAGAACAAAAGATTGTTCTGGAGTAGGAAAAAAATGTGTACTGTCTATCTGTAAAAGACAGATTAATGTTTACATCTGCCATAAAGGTACCCTATAGGGTGATCCTGGCTAAACACCTACAGCTTCGATTCAGATTAACAACTGAACTTTCTTTACAAATTGCCACAGGTTTCCCCAATATATTGAAAGAAGAACGTTGTAGTTCTTACTATGAAAACATGTAATAGCAACATAAAACATCTCTATTTAAAGATATCTTTGAACTGCAAACGTCCTTTCTGACTACATTGCACTTTTCGTGTTTCTAACATTAGTAGGGCCTAGAAACCTTAAACTGTCACCTGCCCTGTAGAGAGCATGCACTTCCTGTGAAGAAGCACTACAATCTTGATTGATAGATTAAGCGTTAAATCTTCAGCACTTTATCTGGTGCTTTAATTCATCACGAGGATATGTCTCTAGTTTTGCCAGAGAAGTTTCATTCAGTGAGGTCCTGTAAGGAGGTAGCCTTTAAAGAAATATTTGAGTAGAATTACAATTCTCCTTCCAGATTACAAGATGCTTAACAGATAAAGTGCTGCGTAAGTGGCCATGCTGCTCTCCTCAGCTTTTTGCACATTTTTGACAGGTCTGTAAACTGTATGTTCAAGACAATCCCCAACCTGATCTTTTGTTTGTGACCAACATCATTTCAAACAGCATTTGAATCTATAAAATAGAAAACCAATATGTTCTTAGAGAAAACCCAAATGTCATTATAGATAATAATAACAATAGTTATTTGAAATAATAGAAACTAAACATCATGATTCCACTACCCTAAGAACAGGGCAAACTGCCAGAGATAATGGCAATACACAGATTACATGGCTATTCACAGATGTTCCTTCATAACATGAAGATACAAAAATTCAGACTAGCCGAACTAGATTAGAAACATGCTCTAACTTGATGATACTTGGAAAGTCTAGCGTTCTTCCTGATTAGATCCTCAGACCAGATCATCAGTCTCTGGGACTGTGAAATATGGCATATACAGTGATGTGAATACCTATTTTCAGGGTGATAAACATCATTTTAAATAACTCACCACATGACAGTGGAAAATAAAAGAATAAAATCCAATCTAAATCAACTCTTGATTTTTTTATCTTTTTTTCTTAAAGCCCGGTGTTATTTGTCGAAGAAATGATTGGTGCCCAACTTGGATAAGTATAGAGATCAAATATAGGCACTGTCCACGTCATAATTCCAAGCATAACTACAGCAACTCCGATGATGTTAATGCCCAAACCAGCTTTCACCTAAAGAAAGGGAAAAAGCAAAGCAGAGACTAATATCAGGACTCTGAAAAAAGTTTTAAAAAATGATAAAAATTAAACATTAATGTTCCAAGGTGATTATCAGAACACTTGAGGGAGTTTTGCTTAGAACTCACCATGTCCATGACAGTTAAATGACCATATGAAAATACGATGGCATTGAGGGTGGTAGGTATCAGAATAAAAAGTGGGTTCACGTGAATGGCTTCAGCCTGTCAGAAAGTAAAATAAAAGAGAAAGAACAGCGGTTAGGGCAGATATTTGACAAATGAAATACATCAAATGCAAACTTATTACAATAATACAAGTGAATTGAGAACTGCACTACCAGTTTAAATGGCACAAAAAACCTTTTCTGATAGCTCCTATTTAAGATTATATCAGAGGAGCAAGTGTATTTCTAATAAAGAATAGCTACTGAACTTTAGATTCACAGCTAATTTCTTTCTAATATTAGGCAAACCTGTAAAATAAAAGATTATTGCAAAGAGTGTGGACATAGTGCAAGCATTAAAAACAAAACACTGTGAGAAAGATGATAACTTTGAATTTGTAAATAATATATAGGGGGAATTCAAGTTTATAGACCAGAAGATGGTCATAGAAAGTTTCAAAGAAGAAAAAAAGAACTGAGTTTTTTGATAACAATAATGAGAAGAGAGGACAGGACTGAGAAAAGAAGGGAAGAAATGAGGAATACTTCTCATAAAGCCCTTCTATCAGGCCTCTCTTCTCTTTGGTGGTAGCTGGAATGTTACAGCTGGATATTTTTGTCCTGATGAAGCACTGTGAGAGAGCGAGCTGTCCTTTTACACAATTATTTCATTATTTTCAGATAGGAATAAGAGCTTCAATTCTTGAGCATCAAACTCTTAACTTTACAGGATTTTCAGCGTCGCCTGTAAAACTCCCCCCAGACAACTAGCTAGCCAATGCACAACACGGCACTGTTGCATGTATGGAGACTTTTTAAAGCTGCTTCTTTGACTAACTTTATTTTTACATGGGTAGTAGAGCACATTCTTGTTAAAAACAGTCTCTATTATACTCACCAAAGGAGATAGTATAGGCAAAAATATTGTAATAGTAGCTGGATTGCTAGCCACTTCTGTTACTGAAGTGACAATAAGGCATGACACCAGGATAATCAGCCACAGGGGTAATGATCCTAGAGGGGTTAATTTATTTCCTACCCAGGCAGACAGCTTTGAAACCTGCATAAGGAATATGACAACATGATTATGTTACAAAATCATTTAAAAAAATTAATAAATGATATAAAACAGGAATTTACTCATCTGTTAATTGTGATGTATTTGCGTACAACAGAAAAACTGGATATGAATTGTTTCCCATGTTCCTACCACATGCTTTACGCACATTGTTCTAATTGCCTTTGTCCTACAGGAACCCATGCAAACATTATTCTATTTATTTATATTTATTCCTTAGAGAATTTTAAGGAGATATCCTTAAAAAACTGTAATCTGCATACATTAGGGTTCACAAGCAGAGTGTGGGGCAAATCCTGACTGATTTACTTGAGTACCCAGCAGAGATCAGCATTATGGGGAAGTTACCTCAGTGAAATGGGACATTAATTATATGGCTTTGCAAACAGTGTGTCTGCACAACTCCTACCACCATCACACTTAGATTAAAACAAATAACAAACAGTAATCATCACTGTGCATAATCTTTGAAGTCAAAGAAAATTCTTTTTTTTTTAATCCTCCTTTCCGAACTTCTTGAATATTCTTCACATTTACCATATTCTGTATTGCTACAAAATGACTTGTTAAAATAAAAGAATAACCTTGAATCCACTGCATGTCTGAATTGTTCCTGGTGTGGGTCATGCTAATTGATCAGTATCTTCTATAAATTGCATTACCTCACAGCCGTCTGCCAGTGCAAACCCACCGCCAACAAGAATAGCTATTTCCCAGGGCATGCATGACTGAAATTCCTTCCAAGTAATCAGTGGAGTGTAATCAAAAACAGCTAGAAAAAAAAAAACCAAAAACCCCATCAACGTTTAAGCAATAGATTGAAAAACATCTTGAAACAAATATCTCAAGAAATACTTTGGAAATATTCAAAGGTAAAATCTCACCATTATGATATGAATGAAGTCTTTTACATGAAAAACCTGCACTTCCTGGGACAGATCCTTAGCTAGTGTAAACTGTCACAGCTTGAAGTCTGTAGAGCTACAACAGTTTCCACCAGCGTAGCATGGGTCCCTCTCCCCTCCTTCTCTGTGTGGAAGACAGCTATAGGATATCAATATGATTAATTTATTTAATAAATCTACCCTATTTAGAGAGATTGCTGAGAAAACTCTGCTTCACACAGACTCATTTAAGTCCTGACCTTGCATTCTTTCTGAACCTCCAGATTTCACTGATTTCAGAAGCAGAGCTGAATGCATGAAGAGGTCAAACCTGAAGTTTACTTTAATCAAGATCAATTCCATTTTAAGAGGAAAAAATTAAATGAAAATAGATTCATTTACCATGTGGAATTATGTAGGTTGCCTTAAATAAGCAGTAATATTTTCAAAAAACAAAACCAACCCTGTCCCATGTAATCTGATCTAAAGCCTGTTAAAATCAACAGAAATTTGTTTCCATTGATTTCGGAGGGCTGTAGATAGCATGTTCCTACGTAGCACTAGCTCTTGCTGCTTACATGGCTTACGCATCGCCATTGATTTCTAGGCCAGGCATGTTTTACAGCCCAGCAAAATATCACCCTGTATGAAGGTGATAAAGTTAGACTATGGAGTAAGAAAACAATTCCAAAAGGTTTGTAGAGCGGAATTCATCTCGATTGACCTAAAACATCTAGGTATGAACTATCACCTGAGTTCCCTTTGTAATTCATAGAGAAAAATGAGCAAGGTTGCAAAGTGATGGTTTGGATCTATTTTAGATACTCCTGTTCAGGTGCAAGTAATTTTCCCTGGATGCCATTGTTTGCACTGAAAATAAAGGCAGCCCAGTGATGGGTTTTGTTGTAGACAGATACATTATAAGCATCCAAAGAGAACGGTAAGATGCATTCCACCCTTTGCATTGCTTCTTTAACGCATCTAAGTCTTAAAGTATGCAGAAACTTCCACATCTGTTTCCCTTTGAAGACCCTTTATGCAGCATACAAAGTAACATTCAATGTTGTTCAAATTCAGAACTTTTCTGCCAATACAATGGAGCAAAATCTGGTTCTATGAATTTTAATAATCTTATTTTCTGAACTTTTCTTGAATTGTTCTATTTTTACCGTAAGTCTTCACTTATTTTGGATACTGAAATGAAACAAGTAATTTATTTTATTTATTTATTTATTTAAATCCATGGAGCTCATATTTCTTATTGCCTGAAACTTCCAAGCAGTCTTGTGCTCAAGTTTCTGGCAGTATGGATGGATGTTTAATTTAGGCTCTATAATGCACTTCCACTGTCCATCTTTTCTCTTGACTTAAAAACTTGTTGGACTTTAGTATTTAAGAACACTGTTCTAACAAATACAATGAATAATATTTATGGCTGATTCCTAAATAACTTATTGTAGTAAAATCCACATCAAAATATACTCAACTGTTTTCTCCATTTGAAGTCCTAGACAATGTTTTTGCTGGAATAATAAAGAAGAGGAGGCCAATCACTAAGGCAGTTGTTGAATCTGTAGCAAAGCCTTTATACCTAGGGAGAAGTTATCAAGAATAACTCAAGAAAAAGCATATAAATGTATTTAGTCAGGACAAAAGTTTATAGATATATTACATGCAAGCCCTTTAAATCCATAAATTTGTATCTTCAGTAAGTATATATTATTTTGTCACCCAGAACTAAGCTGAGGGAGAGGAACGTTCAGGAACAGTTGATGCTTAAACAACTAATTTGCAGACAAAAATTAGCAATATTCTTCAGTTCAATGGTGAATTTAATAACTTTGATATGCTCTGTAGTATATCCAATCCAATAGGCCTTACGAGCACTATGCCTACCCACAACGAGTGATGCTCTTGCAGCAGAGGGAAGACAGAGGAGCTTCATTATCGGCGTCCTATGGATGTCACTGTTGGGGTCATAGGCATGAGGGCCACAATTGCTTTGGACATTTCTTGCACCTTAGAATTGCGTGCATCAGTGAGTTTCTTCAGCTGATCCAATTGCCTACTAACGTGTACAGAGTATCCCCGAGATCAGGTAGTGGGCCAGGCTGAGCTGTAACGCCATTTTAACATATCATCTGATTTTATTGAATGCTCTTAGGTGGTGATATACTGCAGTCTGCCTTATATGAATCAAGATGGTCGCTGAGAATAGTAAAAATTGTGCTGAAGAAAGTTTAAAAAAAGATGTTAAGGTTTGTCATTAATTTCTTGTTATATTTTTTGCGAATTCTTCTTTTTCCTGAACTAATATATTTGTCCTCTCAGCCTCACACCGTAAGCTTTTCCCCATATGCAGCAACAGTAGGTGCAAGTATAATTTCCCTGCAGATCTCAAGCTTAAGATTTTATGGTAAATCAGGGCTTTTCACTGAGAAGGAAAATCATCTCCCAGTTATACAGTATGAATGTATAATATGGTAGAACCCTTTGCTTTAACAGCAGTGTTAGGTGAGATTCACAACACCCAATGTGCATAGCACACTGACACCACAAACAGCATAGTTTTAGCTAACGCTGTCAGAAGATGAACCTGCTATAAAAGTTGACGTAGCCCTTTAACATATTTCAACTCTTGTTTTCTATTATCTGCTAGCACAGAAGACATCTTTAAAAACAAGTTATTATTTTGTAATGGCTTCTCAAAGCAAGGGTGTGGTCTGCCTACAGGTCAGCTTTAGCCTAGGTGTGGGTACACTGGGGCTAAACAGTAGAAAAAAACTTCCTCTAGCTTCCTATCTTGTACCCTCCTGTGACTTGAGGAGTGTTTTGCAGGAAGGCAGGACTTGGGTTATAGAGACACGACTGATGCCACCACTTTCTTCTAGGCAGCTGCTTCTTCTCCCTGTGTAGTTTCATTATTGCTCAAATATAATCAGCATTCCTGATTGATGAGTGTAAAACACTATTTTTGGAAAACCTGGCTGGGACACAGCACTATGTCTATATCTATATCGATAACTATATCCCTATTGCTATCACTATGGATATTGATATATAGATATATGTATGCATATATTTATACAGCACTCCACATATATACTCACAGAAGGACCTAAAATATAATACTTCTTAAATTGGAATAATAGTTTAAGAAATGCACACAACAACCTACCATTAGTCATACTGTTACGGAGATACACATGGCACCATTCCAGACAGAAGCTTTTCAAATATTGTTGAATTTTGAGATAAATACTTTTCAAAGTCCATTTACCCAAGCTGTAATGCAATTGCACACACAACGTCTACCTGCTTGCAACTCTATAAATCTGATTGTCCTATAAGGAGGCAAAAAAGCTGTCATTTAAGGAAGTTTCACAATGACTCGAACTAAAAGCATTGTAGAAAATGGGACCATGGGCAAATTAATATGGCCAATTCCATTCACGTTCTTGCTTTGCTTTACATCCACCCGTCAATATTGTAATTGGACACATTCCAAAAATGCGTAGCGGCCTTGTATTAGCAGTAAAGAAAGGACAAGTCGTACAGAAAAGGGGAAAAGTACGCTGAGACACACTCTCAGGCTGTAATCTGAGGGAAGTGAAGAAAGCCCACCTTGCACATGTCAGCTCTAATCAGCTGCAGCCCCAGGCTGAACTTTCTGTTCTTTAGTAAATTCGTAAAGACCTGGCCAAAGGCCAGCTTGAAACTCATCTTAATTGAAGCTGGTATCCTACAACAAGTACAGCCTGGAATCAAGCCAGGACAGGGACGGGAACTGCTGTAGTAGAAATGATATGTGATCCTGCACTGTCAGCAGATGAAAAGGAAACAGACATTTTTACCCTGCACCCCTCTACAGAATTATGCGGCGCTGGTCATAGCATCCCGCATCTGCCTCCAGAGGCAGGTAACAGGGACTCAGGACAAGGCAGTAAAGGACTAGTCTTTGATAGGTTTACAGAGTTTGAAAGACATTTGACTTAGTGAGGCTGATATGTCGCTTAAATATGAGCTCTACTCATGTACTACACAAAAGTGGGTTGAGAATTGCCATATCATTTCAAAAAGCAGCCAATATAGAGTGGGGAGCATCATCATTAAATATAAATATTTCTGCTGGGATTACAAAGAAATCGGTGTCTATATTTTAAACAGGTATTCAGTAACTTGTGGGGATGCAGACAATCATGCATGTGGGTTGAGAGTGGTGAGAATTCCTTTCTTCAGGCAAAACTTCAAGCATTCCATTTAGTTTGTCAAAAATTATAATGGAACATAATTATACCAGATAAGTACATCCTTAAAGCACCTATCTCAGAGAGGTTTTTAACCTAGCAGGGAAAGACAAAAACAGATGGCTGGAAGCTGTACTCAGACAGAAAACAAGGTGCAAATTTCTCTAGTTTATTTTGGCAACAGAGACGATTATCCGCTAGGACAAACTATCAAGGCAAATGGTAAATTCTTCCATTGCTTCTCAAATGTGAAGAACCTATGTTTTGATATCTTGAAATAAGCCTGGGTGCTGTCTGGGAATTCATGCTCTAATGAAATAAATATATGCCAGGTTCAACAACCAGAATAGTGAAATGGTCAGCATGTCAGAATAAATGAGCTGACAGTCACGTCATCCAGCTTAAAACCCTAAAGGAGGTCTGAATCCTACTTGAAATGACTCATTCCTTCTTAAAACCCACCTACTGGCCCAGGGGATCCTTGAGATTACTTATAGCTCTGACATTGCAGCTTTGTTCCTCCAGTCTAATGGAAGGTTTTATGATGAGAACAAAGCTCATCTGTACAGTTGACAGGTTCCCTGAAGTTGGCTTGAGACTGTGGAATAAAGTCCTGTGGGAAATAAGTACTATCATAAATCAAAGTGCAGAGAACATTTCCTTGCATTTGCTTTGTGTAACATAAACTTAAGTTTATATTACAAGCAGCTTACATAGGCAATTGTGCACATGCCTACTGATAAACTTAAAAATCCAAAACAAAATATTTCATTGAACAATTCTTGTCTGTAGAGGGCATGAAGGAACACATGCATGAGAGATGTAGGCCACAGTGATGCACTACCAGAGGCCTCCTGAATCTTACGGTGGCAACAATTAAAAGAAACAGTTCGGTTTTGAGGTCTTTTTTCTGCTTATTTCTTTGGTTTTTTTTAAAGATGATGGCTCACTACTACTCAGAACTGTACCTTCACTGGACCCGTGCTCTGCTCCTGTATCTTGGACTCTGTTTGCAGAGGTCTCACTCCAGTCTCCTCAGCCTTGCAGTGCTGCTGAGAGGTGGACCTTTGGACCTCCTCACCTGTACCAAGCCCCTGCCATTAGACCCTTCTGGGTTAAGCAGAGAAGCAGCACTGCAGGCTACAGACAGAGAGGCACGTGGGACGCTGACTGGCTGAAGAAAGGGACAGGGCTGACCACCACAAGAGGGATACTGTCTGATCTCCCTTGTCCCCTGCTGCTGCCTCACTGTTGTAGCAGTTGTTATTCAACAGCTGTGGTGTGGTCTTAAGTGACCAAAATGAGCTTGTGCTCAGCTCTGTGTCTCTTCTCTGAACCTGAACCTCTAAAAACTATAAACCATACTGAACCTCTGATAAACTCCTAGCTCCGATCTAAAATCGGTGTTCTCAACCATAATTGCCTAGTTTTATGCCTATCAATGCAATTGACTGGTAAATTACAGCTACCTAGAAACAGGCTAGGTCTGAATAGTAAGAAATACTTTCTTTCCCTTTAATGTTTTTCTTAGAGAATAACATTGGCTTTGTTCCTCTTCAGATTATCTCATACAAATTATAAAGTGATTCAGCTTAATGTGACATGACACGTTTGCATTCCCTTGCAAGGAAAGCGTTAGAGGGTATCCACAAAGTAACATCCCCATGCAGAACCTATGATGCAGCTATTATGAGAATATTCTACTTTTCACTGTCAGTGAACAAAACGCTCCGATAAACAATAAACAAAAAACTTCAAATAGGAAAATGTAAGCCTCTGGACTGAAATCATTTCTTGGTCATAAGCCTCCTCAGATTTGAAAGGCTGTTTACAATGACTGGTTGTTAGTATCAGAGGTAGCTCGTTAAATAGTGCTCGATGAGCACTGAATGTTAGTATGAAGCAGAAATGGAGGTGAAGCCAGCCTGATTGCTTAACTGGCTGATTGCTTGATTAGGTCAACACTCCAAAAACTCTTCTTTAAGAATAAACTGTTTCATATGAGACAATGATCATCAGCCCTTCTGTTACGGTTATGAGGGAAAAATATTCTTTTGTTATTTTTGGATGCTTAAAAAATTAAAATATTTTTAAATAATTTTAGATTTTTATGCTTTTTGTTGCTGTTTTTACACAAAATAATTCTGCTCTGTGCTTTAGATCTTCAAAGGGCTAAATTATTCCTTACAACACCCCCCCATTGTGCATAATAGGAGAGCACTTGACCCTGTGTGTGTGTGTGTGTGGGTGTGTGTGTGTGAGACATTGTGCAAATGGTGAGGAGCATCTTTAAAGAAAGGAGGGATGATGGCTGCATGCGCACATGTCATCCAGGATGGAGACACAGAAACACAAAAATATAAAGTACCACAGGTCCAGCTTAGGATCCATTAAGTACTACATATTAAGTACAAAAGGGCCTAAACAGCACAATGTCCTGCCCCTCCCAGTCTTCCAGCTACTTCCCTGTACTCTAGAGCAAAATTCAAACTTCTGTCACAGAAGAAAGGAACCAAAATTACAATAATTATAGCAAGAGAATGAGAGATTACAGGAATCACTGTATTACAAACTCTTACTGTAGTGAGGGATTTTTTAGGGGAAAAAAGTCTTGCCCTGGAAAAGGGACTGTGTAGCCAGGCTGCAGCAGAGGAAAAAGAAAATGCAATAGTTCCTGCAGGGAGGTGTTTTTGATGGTTAGTTTAACCACGAACGTGAGGTAGTTACCTATGAATAGATAATAATTTATAGCAGTAATTAAAGCTATCAAAGTAAGGGTTGTTGCCCTGTATGGATAGAAGTAAGGCTGCCACTAAGGATAGTAGATTAAAAAATCCTGACTAAAAATCTTACTCTTCAAATTGAAGATTTTACAAGTAAACTATAACAGCAGACATTGTGCATTCTCCGCCACTGACCTAAGTCTAAAAAATAGGTATAATTCATTTTAGGAGGCACTATATCTTCTCCTGTAATGAGTTTAGTACATTTTGCATATTGCACAAATATATTGATGAAATTGCTAGAGTCGTACCTATTCTGAATACACTACATCATAGATTTTCAACAATTTCAGCCTGGAACCTTTACAAAGTATTAAGAGTAATTTTTTTCTTTTTTCAGAAGAAAAGTAGATATTCAGTTAAGACACAGTATAGTCTTGTTGGTATATCAAAAAGATTACTTACTTTGGGAAAAATGAAGACCATCCAGGGATGAAGCCAGGATCTCTGGTAAACCACAATAGGGTCATTAGAATGAACAGGACAAGTGTAACAATTTCTGGATAGCTGTAGCAGAAACACAATGGGTTATCATACATTTTCCTGAATTCACACTTAGATTTACTTTGAGTAGCTTTGTTCTCATCTGTTGATTTACCGTTCAATATACCTTATGGGTCCGAGTTTCTTGTACTCCTCCTGAATCACCTGGGCTGAGGCCTTTTCTCTTGCTGTTTTTTCCTTACCACACTTGAACATACTTTTAAAACTGGAATGTAAATCAGCAATAGTGGAGGATGAATTAAAAGCACATACAAAAGAAAAAATCACCCAACCTTTCCAGTTAACAATAGCACTTCACAAAAGTACGACTTTTACTTTACAATGCAGTATCTCCCATTTAATTATCACACACTAGACTGAACACATTGGTATTAACTGACAAAGCTCAGTGGGAGATTGACAGAGGCAGCAACAAAATGCGTCCTCTTATTGACTGTCTTATTTGTCAAGGAAGGATGAGGCTTTAATTGTAAGAGCTAATTGAAACAATCAAGTTCATAACCTGTCTATTTAATTAAAGTCTTTGATGACTTTACTCTACTTTGTTTTGTAATGAGAAAGTTTGTATTGCATTAGTAGCCTGCATACTGATCAGCGCATCTCTAAACTATTTTGCTACAAGCTGGCTTATCATTCTTGGATAAAACCCTTACATAATGATAAAAAGAACACCATCAAAACAATCAGGAGAAATGAAACAATAAATGTTGAAATATAAAGCGTGGTAAGCGTGGGATGCTTCTAAGTCTGCTTAAGAGTAGAAAGTCTAATTCTTCATCTCTTACACCTGAAGTATCCATCTGATTGTGGAAGACAGGCATCTCCACTATTATCCATGCAAAGGTTAGTGAATACATTGAGAGCAAGGATTTGGAAAATCAGACTGAAAGAACTATTGTCCTCTCCAAAAATCTTAAAAGTACAAACTCCAAGGGGAAAAAAAGCACATAAATTTTGGACAATTGGACATTTTTGCTTTATGCTTATAAATGTAGTCATCTAGTTTATAATATAGATACTGTTCAAGTACCTAAGTTAAGCCCTGGATCTAATGAAGGACATCCTCCTGATTATTATTTTCAAGATTTGGACTACAAAGCATATAATTTAATATTCTTCTGTCTTGCACGTGTGCTGTTTTATGATGATGTGTATATTCTACAGGAACGCATATCATCATTTCTGATGTGAGCTTCCCACATTGGGCTGAGTAGTCAAGGATCCTTATTTAAGAGGACTTCTGTCTCGTCCAGAGACTCATTTATACTACTCAAGGATGCAAAATCACCATTGCTGCATTAACTTTTTATTAAGCATGTTAGATTTAGATATGATATTTACTGCCTGTACAAAGTATTTCTTATATTATCAAGCTTTAGTTTTATTGATTCCGACATTTACTTACTCAAAGCCAAGGAAAAGCCACTGGAGCCAGACCCAGGAGAGCAGCAGAATAATAACTGTGATGGGGATGGAAAGGATAAACCAGGATCCAAAATTGATGCATTGGCAATCTGGGTAACGTCTAGACAAAAGTAAAAAACAATGCAGGTAAGCTTTGGAAGGGAATGAAGTCCTGTGAGAAGTGCCAGAAAGCCATGCTGCAGCAGGGATACTCAGAGTGCTTCTGGTTGGCAGCTGCCTTCAGCATGAGGTTGCGTCTCATGTCCTCTCCCTCACCATCCCATCCTGTTCCTAAAGCAACTGTCTTTCCAGCTGTGCCACGATTATTGGAATTAGCAGCAATGGGTTTCTGGGCCTGCCACCAGGTCTGGATGTGTCTAACCTGAGCTGAGGAGGTGAGGAAGGGCCCCTCAGAGTGTTAAGAGCCATTAGGACTACAAAGGAACAGAAGTGGAAGAAAAGCAATTCTTAGAAAGGAGACTTTAGCAGAAGAAAATATACTTGAATAAACAGGCTTCAATAAACTTAGAAACAGAAGAAGATAGTGGAGAAAATGTTGTAAGGTATGCATTGTATAAGCTTCAAAAGGGATTAAAAGCTAATTAGAAACAAAACTATTGTTACTAATTTCCACAAAAAGCAGGTAAATTCATTTGCCAGGTGGATTGTCTCTCAAGTCACACTATCTCTTTGAGGCTGACTTAATCTACCATCTACAGATGTGGGTCATCACCCAGAGCTGTCCCTACCATATGTATTTAAGGAAAGGAGAAATATGCTTGGGTTTTCTGAAAGAAAGGAATTTATTATTGAATGAGATAAATGCCAGATAACCAGAAAGGCCAGATAAAGGAATACTGTCTTTAGTTTTCCAGTTTACCTTATGAATAGATTTTTTTTCTTCCTTTGAGACCTTCCAGCTAAGAGAGCTTTTAATGCTAAATATGAGAACAATCTAGCCTTCTTGAACAGCCTTCCCTCTCAATGTAAAAATCAGGTAGAAGGAAAATGACATGGCTAAGATGACTATTTCCAAATATTATCAATTTTTTTGTATTTCAGGCCTTGCTAAAAGAAAAGAAATTCTGATATACAGATAGGTCTTTGAAGCAGTAAATGTTGATTATAAATGCTATCTCAAGTGCTATGTAAATTTTAGGAATGATCTATATTTCTTATAATATTTACATATATTGCAATTAAAGTGTCAACTGGGACTGAAACAAAATGTTTACCCGCATCTTGTGGTGGATTTTCTAAATTGCAACTGTGCATAGTAATGAGACAGTGAAACTAGAACAGGGAAAGGCATTATGCTATTATATATAATTTACTGATTATGTGGCTATTTAGCTTTTATTACCTGATTAACCACATCATTTTTTGAATGTACGAATTCCAAGATAGAGAAAACCCTGACTTCAGCACAGCAACGACTCAGCTTCATAACTTAGTATTTTGTCAACTTGATAAAGTATTTATCACCTTCTACCCTGAAGTACACGCAATAAATGTTTATCAAGCAACAAAGCTCTTGAAAACTTTACACTAGAGTTAATTCTCTTATCAGAAGGTAATTTATTGTGGTCAGGTTTCACAGTAAATTAGTGCAGGGATGAATGTATATATATGTAAATATTTCTCTTAATCTTTAATATTAAATGTATATATGTAAATATTTCTCTTATCTTTAATATTAATGTTACCTAATCCTAATTTCCACAGCAAGCATTCCTAGATGGATTGGTTGATCAGTTTAAATGGTTAAGAAATGATCTATTGCATAGTGACACTATTAGATTATCTTCTATAGTTGGATTATCTATTGTAGATCTTGTCTGGGGCAAAGATGGGCAGAAAGCAACACTGAACTAGCTTTTTTTAGATCTATGTCTTGTGGAAGATATAAAAGTGTGACTGACTTTAATAAATCCCTGTATTACAGTGAATTAGTGCCACTAACAATAAACTATCCTTCCAGAAACACAGTGCAAATGCCAACAAAACTTTGTTCGTGAAACGGATCCAGATAAGATGATTCCCTCTACTCCTGTTAGAAAGTTCCTCAGGTATAAAATAATTTAATGATGGCAAAGTTTGATTCTTCATTTTGGAAGGTCAAACTCAGTTACCAGAATAGGATTCACACAACCTAGCAAATTGTCAGTGAGCCTGACTGGAGAACCAAAGGTTCCCCATGTAGGACCTACCCTTCCTCAGGTGTAAGAGAACTCAGTTTTCTCCCCATCACTATGTCCTGCTATCTGGGAACCCTTTCCTTTCTGTAACCCCCACTGGGACCTTCCCTCCATCCCAGGGTGTGGCTGCCTGCACTCCCCGGATCCACAGCCCTTCTCTGATACGGGCTAGCGACGTCACCTTGCCTGGCACTGCTGAAGGAACTGCTTAGTCAGGGGAAAGGGCTGTGAGAAAGTCCACACTGCAGAGCTATGCAAGATAAGAACAGTAAAATTATAGAGATTAGATCACTGACGTGGGGATCAATAGCAGCCTCAGGGATCCAGGAAGAAAAATATCAATACAGAAAGGTATTAAATCCTAAAGAAAAAAAAATAAATTAGGCAGTCAGAAGAAGGGGACTCAACACCATTGATGATCTGCTTCAAGGAGCAGTGAGAGCCAAACCTTCTCATCCTCACTGACATTTCCCTGGCCAGTAAAGGCTTCTGGGTATCTTAAGAGGGAGGATAAGGGAACTGATGGTTAGCCTACTAGTCTTCTGGGTGTGTTAGCCAATGGTTTTTTTTTTTCCCCCTGTTGCATACATCCTGCCTGCAGTCTCTCTTTGCACATAGTAAAAGGTGCCCAAGTAGAGTGACCCTGAGAGGATAAGAAACAATTCTGTCTTGAAAAGGAGCCCTTACAGAAGTGCAGTTTCATTGGCAGGGATGCTTAGCATTGCATCAACATTTCCACTGTTTGCTTCTACCCTGTGAAACACGGCTTAAACTTGTGTCCTAACTCAACAACGTGCTGAAAGTTCCCAGCTACTCACAGCCTCCAGAGTGAACACAGATATGCTAGCTTCCTCTTTGTGTGACAAATGAAAAGGAGGGAGGACGAGCACAGTAAACACCAATCCCAGCTTGTTTAATATGAAAACCAGGAAGATACGATGAATCTGGAACTTTTTAATGCCATTTTAACTATCCTGTCATGAGTGGTAAACCCAAGAATATGCTGGATATGTACAATCCTCTTGCCAAATTATCCCCCATCAGATGTTTATCATGCATGAAGGTAGACCACAAGTATGTTCAAGTAATGCTAACAGGTCAATTACCACTTCAGATAAGACATAAATAGAATTAAGACCTCTAAGGAGAAGGGAGCAAGACACTTAAAAATACTTGCACAGCTAGGTTGCTGAAACAGCTCAAGTTAAGGATTAGGCTCAGTAGTTTTGTCAAGATTAAACAAAACTCTGCTCGGGTGTAAAACTGGATTATGTTCACAGTGCTCAATGTACACCCCATGTTCCTAGTAGAAGGTGAAGATCCAAGAGGAAAAAAATGACCTGTGTATACATTCTTGAAGGGATTGTTAACATCTAAGACAAGCTGAAAAACCAGCTGCAAGCCAGTTCTTCAAGTTTCCTACAACTTCAGGGAAATGAACAAACTAGCCTAGTAAACTATCCCTAGTAATCAATCTTGAATTCTTCTAGGCTCCTGAGTATGACGTCTGCTGGAACCAGAAGTACTCATACGTTTAAAATTTTAGGCCTACCAAGCATAACATTTTCCCCACAGAATGCAGTAGACCTGAAGGGAGAGTTTGAAAGGTCTTTTTTTAGACCTTTGAAGGACAGATTATATTTCAGTCTGACCTGTGTAGTTCTGTAGTCTCAATAGCAGGAAATCTCTGCTATAATTTCCATTCTGTTTCCATTCTTGCTCTGTTGGAGAAGTAATCAGGACCAGACCTTATCTTAGCACAGGCTGGTTTACAGACTACCACTTCGGTACTCTGCACCATCATGCTGGAGCCAAATTCGATCCACTCAGGGAACATAGGTAGAAGAAAATCTATCAGTAACTGGTCTTTCAACCTGTTTTGCTGCATGCAACTCAAAATATTAGGCAGAGGGGAATGAATGGATTGTGTTTTGTTTTGCTCTATTTTAAAATTAGAGTAGGGATATTTTTGGCAATGAGTAAATTTGCAGGATTAAAAAAAAATGCCAGTGAGAACTAGGGGTTTTTCAAAAAGCTTTGGAAAGAAATCTATCTATTTTCATTTCAAAATAGTTTTATGTAAGAAAGAAAAGGAATATTGAAGAATGTTTTTACTAACCTCAAAAAAAAAAGTGTTTCATTGAACACAGTGTTTCAGATCGGTTTGAAATGATTTGCTTTTTATTTGATTAACGGACCTAAATTTTGCATTTCAACAATGCACCAAACATAGCCTACTGAAGGCATATATGCTAGTAAAGACATTCTTTGCTGAGTGGACCTGCATGCCTGACATGACAGGCCAAAAAATATTTTCCTCCTCCCTCCCACCAAATTGCTTTGAAAATAACCTTTTTCTTTTCCCTTTAACACTTTTAAACTCTACAAACTCTACAAAATGGTCTTTAGAAAAGAAACAGACATTTCAGGGCTGCCAGTAAGCAATGTAGATCAGATTCAAACATCCATCTATATATTTTACAATCTGAAAACATTATATTAAAATTGCTGTAAATATTGGGAAAAAAATTAGCACTAAGATGCGTTCTTGTTTATTCTAATGGATTGGACAAGTGTGGGAAGAAGTCTTGTAATCTGCCTTGCCGCCTTTCTGATTCCAGGGCTAACAGGAACTCAGAGCAGTTTGAAATGCAAGTTAGCACAATTTAGAGCAACCACAGGGCTCCTCTCAGTTATGCTAACAACAGGCACAAAAAAACTGTTCACATGGGAGCCCCCAAGTACTCTAACTGGGCTTCACACCAGTCCTTGCTCTTCTCCCCAAATCTGTATTTGGGGAAGTAGGTGGTGACCTCAGAAAAGAATAATATTAAGTTATATGGGAGAAATATACTTTAGTTAGAACTATACTTGATGGCCTGTCTGCTGTTTTAAAATCTAAATTAGGACAAATTTCCTACTATAAGGGCTCAACTTTCAGTGGTGCCAGTTTTCACAAAATGAAGGTGGCAATCAGACATAATATTCCACGCTCTTACAAATCACACTAGCCCCTTAGAAACATCCAGAACATCAAATAAATCTGATCATCAATATTGCTTAAGGAGATGTCAGCTAGTATCTGGAAGATTAGGTGATGCTATTACATCTGCACTGGAATTAAAGGGAAACCAGAACTTAGCTTCTGCTACCAGAGCTCAGCTTCAGCTGAAATGAGTTGTCCTTTAAGGCCAGATAGTGTCTCTCATATTCATGGTAAGCAGTACCTTCTTCCTCAGATAGGCTCATCTTTTTCCATGTAGCTCTTCAAAGAGTAAAGTACTACTTAACCAAAGTATGCCAGAAATTAATCATCATTTTGCATATTTTGAATAATCACTTGTAACTTTTCCCATTGTAAGTAAAATACTACCATACCATTTCATTGTGTGTCTTTAACAAAAAAAAAAAAAAAAGAAAGTAATAGAATCAACTACTGTCAAATTAGAGGGTAAGATTCCTCATACATTTCAGAGGAAACATGTGAGAGCACAAGAAAGGATAGTTAAAATTCTGAATAAAAAAGGATACAAATAACTTAATGTAGTCTCTTACGTATTGAAGTGCTCAGCAAAAATCAAATTAGTCGATGTTCCTGTGATTGTGGTCAATCCTCCAATGGTAGCAGAATAAGCAATACATAGGCACATCACTTTGAAAACCCCATTGTATTTGTCCTCTCTGCTTTTTTTCCCCGTTTCAGCAGGTGGTACGTTCTGCTCAGTAAGAACACACACCTGATTAACATGTAAGAAGGCCTCATCATCAAGCACAAAAGTAGGATGAAGGAATGTCCTAGAATTTCACAGTCAGACAATTTGCTGGCAATATTACCATATGCAGTATGTTTTGGTTTGTTAATACAATCAATCAAGCGAAGGGAAAGAAAGGAGAGCCAAATCCTGTAGTCCTTTGCCTAAGTTGCCTCAGTCTTTACATAGGAACTTCCTTTCTCCCCTTCCCTCCCTACTCTGGCACTACCGCTCCAGAACAAGATTGAGAAAATCCTGAGAAATTCAATCTATAGGTATTTCAAATTCTGGGAAAACCTGATATGTTCTGCTTGTCCTCAGGTGAGGTTGGTTTAATTTGCGTGAAATATATTTGGAGCACAAAAACACTAATGAAATAATTAAATAAGTAAACTTTTTGCGTATCAACACATATACACATATGTAACTTACAAGGAACCAGCTTCACGGCTAGTAGTGCTGTGATAACTGTTACATGAGCGTGAGCTTTAGGTTAAAACTATAATACACGTATTAACTGCATTAAAAAAAAAAGATACCTGAAGTACCTTTTCCTTTTCTTTTTCATTTTCCTTTTCATTTTCAATTATGCACACAGTATTACTCATGCCATTGCCATATCTGTAAAAATAAGGGTATTTATTTTAATAAACAGATGTTCTATGTAGATGAATTATTCTTCTAACAGAGTTTAAGAAATGAATAACTGTTACCTATTAGCTTCTTTTGTCTTCTCTTTCCAGTCACTGGTTTCACATTCCATAATGTTTTCTGGAACACATTGATGGAAAGACAGGCAAGAATTTAGGGGTGCAAAACCAGAAAGAATCTTTTCCGTAAGTATGTCCTAATCCACGCAACTGCTTTCTATCTTCCCACTAACAGACTTTTAGACTTAAGCTTAAAAACAGCTAGATTGTGCCCTCTTCCTCCACTATTCCTGTTACCTCAGAATCTCAGTCTTTTTATGATTGGACACCTTTTCCTAATTTACAGTCCAATTTTGTACATAATGAGTTTAGATTCATTTGATCTCCAAACATTATCCTAGAGCTTAAAGACTCCCTCAGTAATGTTGGACCCCTGATGTATTTATAGCCTGCAGTCATATTTCCTTTTGGACTTTATTTTACTAGGCTGACCGAGTCAGCCTCTTCTCTTCTCTCATAAAGCTGCCATAAACTGCACCTGTTCAGTTTTAATAGATCTTTACAAACATAAGAGGCCTCATACTGAGTATTCCAAGAGAGGTCTCACCACGAAACGCGCGATGGTGAGAGCGCTCTTGGTGAGGTGAGATCTCTTCCCTATTCCGCCAACTTCGTTTTGTGTTGCCTTTACGTCACTGTGGAGTGGGGGAACACGTGAACTGCACGATATGCCTACCATCGAGCTCCAGTGCCAGGTTGGTGGAGCCATTAGACTGAGACATCTCCAGCGCATCTACTTCTGCTTCAGCCTTGATGATCTGCTGAGCTACAGCCTCTACAATTGGCATCACCATAGCAGCAGCAGAGGTGTTGCTGAGCCACATAGACAAAAAGCTACAGCTAACCATGAAACCCAGAGTAAGCCTAGAAAGAGAGAAAAGAGTTTATTACTGTTAATGTAGCCCTTTCTGTTTATTATAAATGGAAAACTTTTTCAACAGAAAGATAGAAGGTAGGAAACTCTAAATGTTTAGTGCTTGTAATTGACCTCTGAGGAAGTTTGTGAATTAAAATGATCTTGATCAAAGACATTTTCTCACCGAAATAATTATATTTTAAAGTTTTAAGGATCAAATATATTATTAGAAATTGAAACAGAAGCAATAATGTTTATTTACAATCTTTGAACCATCTTTGGTTGGAGAAATATGGACATGCATGTCACAAGCTCAAAGAAAAGTCAAAATGGCTGTACTACCTACTGCTATTAATCTTGTTGTACTGGGGACGATAGCTCAAAACTTTGGACTTATTATTTTGGCTGTCAGTCCTTTGGATAACAGTGAAGGTGTTGTAGGAACAAATATTAGCAAATCCATAGGTGACACTTAACTTAGCTTTTAACCAGTGCCCCAAGACATACTTAGAGATTATTTATGCTTCAGTAAATGCCATATTTCATATTAAAAAAGAAAGTGAGGGTCGTTACAAAGTCTCAGTCTGGTCTTTCCACAACTTATGCTTTAAGTTTACCACAAAATAGGAACTGTGTCAACCTTGCTGGAGTCACTCTAGTTTTACACTAAATTTCCATGTCATGTCTGGCAAAGGTAAACAGGTTACATTTAGATTGCAGAACACATTATTATTTTTAATGCATCTCTTGGAGATGTAAATGAGAATATTTCGCAAATGAGAGTATTTTTCTTGACTTCCTGTTGCAAGGTGTTGACAGTGTCATTAAACAACTGGCATACATCACCACAGAGAAAGAGAGAACAGCAGTGAGGGAAGAGACCATGGTGCATGTCATTTTCTGAGAAGTCCCTTGTGCAATTTGCAAAGCTCTTTGGCTAACTTCTAGATGAACAGCCTTACACAAACTGTAAGGATTAATCAGCATACCAAGACAAGATTTTTGTATAAAAATATTGTATTCCAGAAGCCTCTAACAGTCTTTCACTTAGCTAATAGTGATAGCATTGCAAACTTTTTTTTCATAATAAGCACACAAAAGTTCAGTACCCTGATGCCCTCTCTTTTCTTTGTGCATTTCTAATTGCACGATGATGAAATGAACTGTATATCTGCAAACGGTGGACCTGATTCAGCAGGAATGATCACCAATAAAATAAGTCCTATTAACTTGTCTCAGTTTTGGATTAGAGCCTCAGCTGGGAGTTGAAGAAGAATTGTGTTTTCACGAGATACTTCATGTAGAAAAGGCTGGTCATGCTAGGTACACTGAATGTGAATATTTACATTGCAGATAAGTATTATTTTAGTACAACTCGAAAGAGGCTTTAAAAATAAAGCAAATGAAGACATTTACTAACATCTATTTCAATACCATTCTTCATTTATTTCCGACATTTGATAGACTGATGTTCAAGGGATCATCTAGTACACTGCGGTATCTTCTAATGAGTGACTCTATTAAAAAATAAAAAAAAAAATACATCCTAACCTCTTCAGTCTGGTTTATTTTCACCACAGTATTGTTAAAAAATATTCTACATGGAACCTTGGAGGATGACTTCATTTACAGTCAACTGTAAAGACATTCTTTGCTATTTAAAGCACAATCAATCCTTTATTACTCATTCTAGGTTTTGTGGATTGCATAGGCATGTTCACCCGTCCCTGCTATGAAATACCTGCAAGTCCTCAGACCAGACCACACAAATCAAATGATGAGAGGCCACTAAGGACGCCTACCATCATACCTACACCATTGCGCCCCACCATGTCCTCTACTTCAGAAACCTCCTACAACAAAATCTCTGCCTTGGGCTGGATGTGGTCCCAATGTGCAAAGGCTGGTTGTGGATTACTGCTAGCAGAGACAGAGGCACACTGCGCACAAACACTTTCCATCAATTTGCAGTGGGCATGCAGATAGTGAGCAACAGATGCTGAGAGGTGGGAGAATCCTCTCCTTCACAGATTGTCTTATCATAGTCTTATCAGCTTCTTATCATAGTCAGGAAATGTGACAGAGCTGAGCGAGGATGCATACTGCCTCTTCAAGGTTTCAAAACTGTCTGAAGAATTTCTTTACGCATTCTCAGCAGCTAGCTGCAGGTTTCTGCATGTCTGTCTCCACTGTAAGCTCCCAGCAGCGTTCAGCTTAGCACTATTCACTTATGTTCTCATTTTCAAGAATTCAGCCAAATGGTAGGGACTTAAGACTGACCAATAAAAAAATTTAAAATAACTAAACCTGCATGACTCAGGAATATAGCTAAAGGTAATGGGAGACAGTTGAATGCAAAGAACTGTCAAGAATGAAGGCTAAAAGCTACTGAAAGAGGTAGGAAAAAAAATCAAAATATATGTGATATATTTAAAATCAGGCCTGTCAAAGCATTGAGGAATAGAAATAATCCAGTGTTTCCAGAAGATGTTATTAGTTAGATCATCCAAGATGCCTCTCATTTTTTTAGCTCTATAGCTTTTATTTTTCTGACTTTTTAGTTTCCATCACTTTTTGTTTCTTAAGAAGAACTCATAAGTGTCTTGTATTCTGGGAAGCCAAACACACTCCAGATCTTCTCTACAGTCTTACTGATGTACTGACAGATGAAGCTGCTTGCCTAAAGCTCTCCTGCATACTTTTCAAGCAAGTAAAGAAAAGGGTTTTCACTTCATGAGACACATGCTGACACTGAGTCAGTAAAGAGTGCATAATTTTATTTCCCTCACCACTTCATCCAGCTGGAGGAGTTCCTATTCATTTGATATTTTTTTTCTTCACAGATAGTCAAAGAAAAACCATAGAGAAATTATGCATAAATTTTTCCTTCCCTACCACATTTTGTATTTTTTGACTTTTTTTTCTCACTGTATATTTTGAATTCTTGTTGTATACTCGGGACATGTCCAGCATTTTGCAAACAGTGCTGAAATATGGATTAATAATAAGCATAACATGGATTTTGAGTTGTAGGCCTTGGTTAGGTAATGTACTAACCATCATTAAGAAATAGAAACCTTACATTATTCACAGATTCATCAGCTTTTCTGTTCAGAAAGATGCTTATTATGAACAGAATCATTGCAGGGAGCTTTTAGCCTTTTAATCAGGATTTCAGCAAAACAATAAAGCGTCACCTACAAATCAATCAAACCATTTCCCACATCTACTTTTTTCAGTAGCAAAGAAAGGCTTGATTTCTACTACAGAAAAAAAACAGGAGGCAATTATTTCTGGTATACCTAGCTTTCCACAAGTATCATTGTCCTTCAAGACATTGTTTAACACATACCACGCAGGGTTCACGCCCACCAGCATCACCATTCTTAAAGCCACTCTTTTATGGAAATTCCATTTTTCTATTGATGTTGCCAAACAAATCACTCCAATTAACAGCAAATGGAAGTCTTTAAAGTAAGCAGATGCAACCTGAAATAAAAACAAAAAGGGTTTTGTTAACTAAATAGTGACTTTGTGTTGGTATTTGCTATTACCAGCCTAATGAAAAACACTTTCAGCAAAAATATACACTGAAATGCATATGCAAAAAGATTTTTTGATTAAATTTAGCTAATTAATTTCATTGAAATTGTTAATTTATTTTAAGCCAAATGATGCAAGAGTGACTACATTAAAGTTAACGGTGTTAAAAGTTAATGAAAAATAAGGCTTGTGGTATAAACAACCTAAGATCATCCATCACACTTCACACATGAACTAAGTCACCAACAAAAGATTGTTTTTATTAATTTAGTCATCTATCCAATGAATGAAAAAAATAACTTTAAATATAGAGACTTAGAATATGATTGTCTGTGGTGTCATCAACTCTTTAACATCAAGATTGATACTCAGCATTTTGCTGATGGGATCTTTAGTGTGTCACATCACATCTATGACACTAGGGATACTTTATATATGACTGGTTTCTTCCCACTGACTGGCATCTAAGCACTGAATCACAATCTAGGAAAAAAAAAAAGTAAAGAAGTCAGGACAAAGTATGTGAGCAAGTCTTGAGAACAGCTTGCTGTGATCTATACTCAGCAAATCCTTGGATTAACGTATGAATTTTCAGCATTATGTGGCTCTTTCTCTGGAGATTTTGTGATTTATCATTGAAAATATAGTACAATTGAGAGGAAAAAAAGGTTACCTGCTTGGATGCCATTATACCAAACAAAGGGAACATAAAGGCGGGTAGCAAAGCTGAAACAGCCAGTGGTAAAGCTTCTGTGAGCCAAAAGATGGCAACTACAAACAGTGTGTATGCACATTCTGCTTCCTAGAATACACAAGACATCAATAAAAACATGTTTGGATCATCCAGGGAAAACAACTATGACTGCAAAAAGTCCGGCGAGGTCAACAGAGAGATTCCCCTCACCTGGTATGAATCAAGAGACCTAGATTTACAGTACTTACTGTCTGCTATTGATAATTCTCCTGTAATTTGAAAGATGTTCAGTAAATAGTTTAAAAGTATTTTTTTTAAAGATGGTAAAATAGAATTGTGCATTATTATTTACATCTAATGTTTATGGAAGAAAAGGGCAGCTACCTTTTTCTTTTTCAAGCACAATCAATCAAATAGGTTATTCTGGAGCCTTCTCTGACCATGAATTAGCATGAATCACAAACATTCTGAGGCTGCAAGCAAACCTTTAGAACTCTTGGAGAACTTGCAATCCATAATAGGTCAAATTTTGGCTCTCCTGAGATAAATGACATTTTATCATCAAGGTCAATAAGACAAGTATTTTATCTAATATAGTCAGCACAGTTCAAGAGTGACAAGACATGCAGTTATTCTTAAATTATTCTTAAGTTTTGCAATTTTAGTATCTTCCATTCATAATCCTGGAAAACAAAATTTACTGCAAAGCTGCCAGTAAAATGGGGCCACCATGATACTGATGAAGAACACACCAGAAAAGACTAGGATGAAGGAGGAACAGTGAACAACGGAAACAACTGAAGCTGCAGCCAAAATGAAGTTCCCAAAGTCAGACTCTGGTGAGATGTGGTCTGAAGGCATGAGTTTGTAATGAGACTGAGTGAGCCTAGCTGGCTGTAGAATCCTAGAAAACAGGTTTGCCTAGTTTCAATTTGTATTTCTGCTCTTGAGGAAAGTGAGTTGGAAAATTTAATGCCACTTATAAGGGAATGAAGCTGCTGTAACAGCAGTAGAGATGGTTATCATAGAAGACGAACAGCTTAATAAAATGGGGCTGGGAACCTTTGACTGTAAAACAATGATGTCCAATACAAATCAGTCTGTCATATCTAATATTTACTGTTTGAGAAGCTAATGGTATATATGAAGCAATCTGTCAGTGTCAGTTGAACTCTCATTTATGAAATGTTCATCTTACCTGAAACCTACCACATGAAAAATTTGATAGATTCTTAATGCTTAGAGAGCAATACTGAATCTGTGACATGGGCAGTGTAACCACAATCTGACAGAGAAGCAAGGACTTCTGAACTGGACTTTCACGTATTATCATACTCATTCTCCTGAGATCAGATCTGTACCAAGCAGAAGCACTAGTAAAAATTTTATATAACTGTTTCATCAACTTGGAATTGTCACAAGAGTTACTGAACGCCAACAGAATTTATTTTGAGTAAAGAAAAACTAAGCTGTCCTGCCATAGCATTTGCTATATTTAGGAACCAGAGGGAATTTCTTGGATCCTTGATTTCCGTCTGTTGCTGTCAAACAACACAATATACAATAAACTTAACAAAATACATCTTGAAAGTGGTTAGGTGTTTTGACTCACTCCTATGTCTAGAAAAGGATTCTGATGTCCAGATGAAAAGTTTATATTTGTAAATTGCTTCTGTGAACTGCAGTACAGGTCATGTTGTGTCAAAGATCACAATAATAAAATCTTTGTTTTATTATCAAGTAGCAGGATGAACTACATTACACATTCAAGTTCTGTAAAGTTCTATGAAACCTGGTGAAGCAGTTAGAGCTGGCTGTAGGACATCCTGCACTGACAGTGAAAATACTGAAATAGAAAAAAACACATAGTCCAGTCTGTGTATTTGGAAAATTAGATCCATGCTGTACAAAGAAACAAAAATGTATACTTCAACACTCTCTTAAACAATTTGAACAGAAAAAGAGGCAATCCGGCCTTTAGAATCCTGATTCACATTTTACTTGAGTGTAAATTTACATATACTTGATTACCTGGTAAATATTTCAATTTAAACAAATTATTGTATATCTTACTGAAGTGGATCCAAAATTTAGACATGAAAGATTAGCATAGAAAGGATTCCACTCCCCCCGAAAAAACATCATCGTGCGTTACAATAGACAGCTGTTCAACAGTGCAGAGGAACTGGCAGATATTCCTGCTAAATACACTTGTTTTTACTGTTATGTTCGAATAGTCTCAGAGTGGACCACTTTGGAATGAACAAAATAACTTTTGTTTTTGTTTTTCAGAGGTATTTTACATAAAATCATATAAATTCTGGGAGATTTCACTATTTCACTTCAGATTAATACATTATCTTAAAGGTTTTCCTTGCTGCTGGTAGGGATGGAGGCATCTTTTGAAAAATGCTCTTCACTGATCACAAATAAAGGACTAATTCAAAAGAAGGACAATTATAGATCAGTTGAGGTGACTATGGAGCTATATCATACATAGAACTTGGATAAAGCGTGTAGTGCAGAAAGTCTAAAATTCATTGCAATATAAAGTTTTCAGAATTTAACAGCAGTACCAAAATAGAAGTGAAATTTACAGCACAATTCCTTCTAAAGGCTGCCTGAGATCATGTCTAAAGCTCCTTACTAACCATTACACAAAATTGTTTTCTCTTGCCTGTAATTTTACTGGATTCAGACGACAGTTTTCCATGACTCAGTTGATTTTTTTTTCATTTTTGAAGGCCACATACAGCCAAAACAGTCCAACCTATTTTGAGAGTGAATTTACTAAAAATGCTGTTTTCCTTGGGTGAAAGTGTAAGACTTTTGTTTGTTTATTTGCAGGTGCTCCAGCAACTACAGACTGCTTTGGAGAATCTGAAATTTTGTAGAACATTTATGGAACGGCTGTACCTTTTGCTGCTGTAAAAATCTTCCAAGTTAAACATAACTAAGTTATATATATTCTGAAAAAGCAAGTTTGCCTCTTATCAGTAAAGCCCTGGAAAGCTACACTGTTATAAACTATGGAAATTACATCTGTACTGGCCATGCTCCATGCTCCATGCTCAGTCCTGCATTGGATTTTCTTGAGATTGCAGCTCATCCCCAGGGAAGTCCTGTCCTTTGGCTCTTAGCCAAGGGGCAGCTGGATTGGGAAAGCAGTGGGGATATATCAGCCTGTGCAGAAGATTCTGAGTTGTAGGCAGACAATACCAGCAGTTGTATTTGCACTGAATAAAGCTGAAACCTCCCAAAGATATTTTACTTCTTTCAGAGCTGAGGAAACAGGTCAGCAACATACACCAATACAAGGGGTGAGACTTTGACATCAGAGACAGCTACTTAGGAAGTTGATTGGGTCAGCTGCAGTGGGAAAATAATAGTACATTTTCTTATGCCCTCTTAGCTGCATGAGACAGATTTGTGTCTGAGATATGCAAAGTAGATAACTGAAAACTTGTTGTTAAAGATCACTGGAGACCAACTATATACCTTAAGACCTCCATTGCTACTGTCCAGCTCACCTGAATGCTGAGGGAGGAAGGTAGGTCAGCCTTGACCTTCAGGAAAACAAGACTGCTGAGGCTGTCACTATCACACACTTCCAGTGAGCACTGCTGCCACGCTCCTGATTTTCAGGCAGCTTACAAAAAAACAACTACAATCTTGCAATTAATGTTGACAAAGTCAAAAGAATATTCATAATTTCATGAGGGATATTCATAAGGGATATTTTTGTCTTATGTTATATTCACAGCTGTGCATCTGAAAACAATTTTTACATGGAGCCAATGGTGCCACTTCTATAGAGCAAAAGTAATATAAAGTAATCCAGTTATAATGAGTGCTGGATTGAATGTTTATTCACTCACCCAGTCACTTCATAACTCAAGGAAAAATCTTTTTATTAGCATTAGTAGTGACTTTTAATAAATATCTTTTTTTGACAGGAACTAAAAGGCTACTATCCACCAAAGGTTATCCAGTAATAGCATTAGCACTTTTTTCTCCACAAGGGACAAATTTAGTTTCATCTGAAGATACAAAATCTGTTTATTGTTTTTATGTAAAACAGTTGAATTCAGTACAAATCCTTGCTTTTACTGTATAATAAAAGTTAGTTACTAATAGTTACTAATAAATCTATAAATGTACAGGCATATTGTATACATGCAAAAATACTCCTTTCAGACACTTTTGAAAATATTTATTCTAAATTTCCTCGGAAAGTTGGATGTAGACAGTGGAAGTGCATGGGGGCAAAAAGTCAGGAAAGCATGGGAAAAGATGAGAAATCTACCACTTAATTTTAGAGTGCCTAGATCTGAAACCGTAATCTATCCTTTATTATTTGCTACAAGAGACAAGAGGAGTAAGGGAAAAGAACACATGAGCGTGTACACATGTACACACACATGCACAGAGAGTACATTCCTTATATTTGTCCAAGGGTCAAGGTGTAAACAGAACTCTGGAAATCTGATGGGAGAGGCATGCTCTGCTGTAGATTTTGTGCAATATCTTAGAATTATCTTTTACTTTGAGGGGCAAAGTCATTACACTGCTTTCCCTATTCACTATAGATCCTCACTCAGGATAGAATACATAGGTTTAAATACCATTGTTAAATGTGAAAATTATTTTCTAGATAGGGAATAAAATATATATAGTTCAGGACTTGCTGCAATCAGCACTGAAACTCTTCTATTCTATACATTTCTATGAAAATACTCTAAGTTGACCCCAAAAAAAAAAAACCACAATACAAACATACTGAAGTTATTCTGAAGAGATCGGGAATCTTATACCTGATATATAGGTGCAAAATAATTACTTCTCACAGCAGGTCACTTACTTTGGTTCTGATGATAAGTGGTAGTGGAAGTAAAAGCAGGGGGGTGAGGACAATGAGCAAGAACCTTCGATAGACCAGGAGATAACTAAAAATCTTCATCGCTGATGGCTGGTAGTTGAAGTTTCCTGCAGAAACGGGCAAAAAATGGGTCTGACTTTAAATAGTTTACCTGGATTAATATTTTCCTAAACTACTGCCTTTAGCCATTGCTAAAGCAGCCTAGTAAACCAAGTTAAAATTAAATCTTGGTCTTTATTGTTTTAGTGACTTTATTAACAGTAGGGTGATAAGATAAGTGCTCCTCATAAACCAAGGCTACATGTCTGCCACCTCATGACTTTCTCCCCCTGCTCTTCCTCATAATGGGATTATGTAACCAGAGTAGGTTTTAGACAACTAGATAACATCTCAGGTACTCTCTCAGTCACTGTTGGCTTCAGTAGAAAATCAAAACATCTAATATACTTTGAATATATATGGTCAAGATCATTTATGTCACTATGTGAAATCATACTGCAAGTTCATTTTACTGGACAGAAGGAAAAACTTCTTCACAATGAGGAAGGATAAGAACTGGAACAGGCTGTTCAGGAGACTGTGGCATCTCCATACTTGGAGATATTCAAAGCTTGAGAAAAGATGGTGCTGAGCAACCCGATGTAACTTTTAAATTTCCTCTGTTTTGAACAAGAGGTTGGATGAGATGACCTCCAGAGGTCCCTTCCAACCTTGATCTTTCTGTGATCCTACCCTTCAAGAATTTGAAATACATGGGAAAAATAAGCTTTCTCCCTCTTACCTGGCAAGAAGTGTATGTAGTTCCTCTTTTCCTCTCATGCAGAAACAGGGAAAGATATTCCATTTATGTCACATATAGCCTTGAAGACTAAGAATGGAAGAATTTTTGAGACAAAAGGAAAGAAAAGACAAAATACTTTTGCCTGAATTTTCCTGTATTCAGTAACAGAGAACTTTGTGCAATCTTTGTACTATAACAGAACAGCATATAATTAAGAAGACAGAAAGGTGGAAAAGAGTTTTGTTCATTATCTGTGAGTGAAGATAAAAAGGGGTAATAACACTGTGTTTCATGCTCAGGATCTAATATGAAACAGTAAATTAGAAGAGGAGACAGATGAAGGATTCTTTCACCTATCATTACAAGCAACCAAAGCTCAGGCAATAAGGTGAATTTTTACTATCTATATAGCTTGCAGATATAACAATATGTCAGGATACATGCAAACCAAGTTCTCAGATTGCCAGTGTTGGGGACAGACTTTTGATTTTGGAAGGTAGACTTTGATTTTGCTAGGAAAGCAGTATTTCAAATCTAACTGACAGGAAGGAATTGACAGAAAATCCAGAGGTGTGAAAAAATCTGGGGGTGAAAGTAATCATGAAATAACAGCCTGCTGCACAAGAAGAAAGAATAGGGAAAATAACTTCAAGACAACTCAGGAAACTGAGACCAAGATCTCCTGAGAAGATAATGTAAGGGATAAAGAAATTAAGTGTACTGGCAGTTTTTGAAAGGGACTATATTAAGCATATTATGCTAAACTCTCCCAGTCTGAAGGGAAGACAGCATAGAGAGAAACTATGGCATCTCTACCAGGAGAGCTTCAAAGATCTGGAAATGAAAAGAGAGTTGTATGAGATCTGGTAACAATGGCATGTGTCTAGGGATTGCTATAAAGAAAAACACAAACATAGAATAAATTCAAAGAGATTATGATGTAAAATATACTTAATTTGGGGACATCAAGAAAAATTTCTGTTAAAATAGAACAAAAGTCTGTTCTCTTCAGAAGTAGAAGAGAACAAAGGAGAATAGAGGGATATAGCAAACATAAAGGAAACCAAATTATAGATGATGTTGGAGTATCTAACACTTTCTTCACTTGAGTCTTCACAAAGGTAAATGGCAGTCAATTCTCTAATAAAAAAAAGTTTTAACAAGCAAAAAGGAGTGCATATGGGCACTGTACTGGTAGGAGTGCTAAATATTTAGATTTAGGATGTGTGTTCAAGTTAACTGTGCCAGATGAAATTCACCCATAATTAGCAGATATGAACTCAATGTGAGAATGATCTTAGAATATACTTGAAAATATCCGGATATATTATATATTTAAGAAACTGTGAAGCACTAGGAGTTCCTAGAAAATTGGTGAGGTGTATATGGAAATAAATACTGGCTAATATAAGTCATGTGAACTCAGTGTAATTTTCTTCTTTTATGGCTTAGTGATTAAAGATACAAAATAGATATGTTTTATTTCATTTCAATATACTTTTTTAGATCAGCTAAGAGAAATTCGGAAGTAAACACAGAAGAAATGCTCAAGTTGAAAGTGCCTTTGAGTGCACAGCTAGTCAAAAACATTTTGCTTTCATATTTGGCACATTAAATGGGCTCCTGAAGTGCTTTCTCCTGAGTCATTTTCTATATTATATTTTTGTTAGTGGTTGGAATCATAAACTGGTGATGAACAGGGCAAAGTGTGTATACAAAGGTAATGCCTTCTACTTGAAATCAGATCAAAAAAGCTGTCCTTTCAGTATTCTCAGACCATCATGACTATAGCAAAGTGCCATGTAGAAACAGGTAGAAACAGGCATACATAGCTCAAAAACAGAACAGGGAAAAAGATTTCTATTACTAACTCATGTGAACTATTGCTGATGAGGCAGTAGACATTCCCATCAGAATGGAATGTGAAATTAAGACCTTCTGCAGATCCCTGCTGTGACATCTGCAGTCAGCCACCAGAAATGTCCAAAGTGAAAATCAGGAGCTAAAATGAGAAAGAAAGAGGTTTCCTCTCAAACTGGTGCTGACACATTTCTGAAATAGTTGAGCCTTAACAGATAATCTAAGAATAGATAAACAGACAGATATTCTGCTAGATGGTAAATTTCCAGATCACGTTTAGTGGAGGGGGGGCTGAAAGCTTGCTGAGAGACCTCAGACTTGAAATGGCACAAACGTGGATCTAAGCTTATTGCCAGGGACCAGGAATAACAAGTAAAGGTGTTGAAAGCTCATTACAAGGATCTTAAACATTCAGCTCTGCAGGTGGAAAGGAAAGGGATTCTAATATGGTTTTAAGATATTACTGAATGAATAGGAAAAAAAATGATGAATTCAGTTTGAAAAATAAAGATGTGTTGACAACAATGAAAAAAATATAAAAGAGGTGAAGTTTGTAGGGAGAAAGACTATTTCTCATTATACATCCAATATTAGCTGATCCGGGGCAGTATTGATCTTTCACCCACTAGCTTTCTTGTTATGCTGTATTTATGTCTGTTATGTCTTCAGTTAATTGTGGACTTCTCCCAGGTGTTTTCTCCAGAGCTAGTTTGAGTTTTGTGGTTCTTCTGCCCAGATGTCAAGAAAGCCTGTGGAGCTGATCCTTTTATCCTCGAAGCTTTGTCCCATTAGCTGTATCTGCTATTTAGCTGAAGACCACTGTTGCTCTTTCATACTTAAAGAAGGGCTTGTGCGCTTAGGAGGTCATCATTTTTTTCCTTGTCAGTGTCCTTATAAATTACATTATTGTTCTCTACCTTACCTTGCTTTTGTCTTTTGACCGTTACAGATATAATGGCAATACTGCTGCACAAAACTAAGAGGAACAGTTCCTTTAAATGATAATGCCAAGGAAAAATGGGCACAGTTCAGACAGTATTAAAAGTGTCCTGCAAAATTCACCCTCCAGTTCAAACAGTGGATGAGAGAATGCCTAGCTGAACATGCATATTCAGAGACAAAAGGGTCAGCACAGCACATTATTTTTGTTTATGGGCAACTGAGTTATAGTAAGGGAAGTTTGGCACCATGTAACAGGACTGGAGAACAGCAGAGAACTTGTCAATATTGGTTAAAACAAAAAAAAAATTAAAGCTGACAAGCTAAAAAAAAAGCTTGGGAGATGGCTGATCCAAAATGGAACCACTTAATTATGTCAAATGGAAACAATTTAAAAAGTGTCATAATGTCTAGACTATTCTTTTTAGCTTTTTAAATAGCTATCACATCATACAGTCCTAAGACCATCATTTCTGAATAGTCACTAGTGCCATCTTTTAGATTCATTTGTCAAGGTTGCTTAAAAGTGAACACGGAAAACTAGTTGATACTGCACGTAGGATGTCATATATTCATGTACAAAAGTAGATTATTTATTACCTTTGCCAGATCCATTGGTTTATAATTTCTTTGCTTGTTCTCATTTTTCTTTTTTTTATTAATTTTTTGGTTGTCAGAAATATTGAGCAAATGATTAAAGTACTGATCTCAGCAACAACAGAATTACTAACGTCATTTCAAAAGCATGTAAAGGTTTGGTACACCATTCAGCCCGGCAGAATCATTGGAAATGTAGAGGTAGAAAACAGGAAAAAATTCAATATTTCCTTACCAAATGTGGTTCACATGGGATTAACAGGACACCTTTATAGAATGAGACAAGGTGCATGTTAGACCAGCATCTCTAATCCAGCAGTAAGATATGTGTTACCATTTGTTATCCATGACTTATTATAATGGAAAGGGTGTGTATCACCACAAAAACTGTAAGGCTGGTTAAGGTTCTGGCTAAAGCTGAAGAACAAGTGAGGCAAAGGAACATCGTAAAAAAAGCTTCTAAAAGATTTTGAGGGATTAATACTTTTAATATTTTCATTAATGAGTCCCAAAATATCACTTATTGATGATAACATTGATAAGCATTATCACCAAGTTGAAATTCTTTAAATAAGAACTATGACAGCTTGAATACTGAAGTCATAGAAACGCATAACAGGCAAAGAAGAAAGCTCTGGGAGTGGCCTGAGTGAGCGCTGTGGTGAGATGCACTTCTAATTTTACACATCTGTATCTAAATTAGTCTCAGTAACCTTTTTCCACAATCTGCAGAGAGATATAAAGTACTTCCAAAGGGGATCCATCCTGCGTATCTGAGATGCGTATTGTAATCTGAGCTGAATTACACTCTAGAGATCACTGTTTCTCCTCACTAACGATTAAAATCCTTAGGCAAGGGGTTGGACCAAATTGTCTAACTTCTAGATGCCTAAGTCAGGGTAGATGTGTCCTACCCTCTGCCTATTTGTGGAAAAATTAAAAACAAAAACTTAGAAAGCCATCTGAAGTCAAGAGTAAGAGCAAAGTGCTGGGGCACTGGGCAAAGAAACAATTCTCCATTATCTGGGTCTGTGAGTTCGAGGAAACAGGACATTGTACCTACACATCAATAAAGAAAGCTGCATCAGAATACTTAACTTCATTATTGCTCAATAATTAACTTTCAATTCTTCCTCATCATTGCAACAATCGGAAAACACCTCCAATTTTATTTGCATATTTATTTACCAGTGACTGGAGCTGAAAGGTTTCTCTATTGCCAGAGAAAAACTAAATGTCTTTAGTACTAACACAACACTGATTGCCACCTTTTGAAAGATGCCACTGAGAATAAATGGAAAAAGCATGGAAATTAAATTGCAAGCACTAATTCCTCAAGATCTCACATATTCTACAAGACACATATCCAGCTCAGAAAATTTTGCTTGACTGCTTCCCATTTTTAATGCTCGCTATTTTTCCTCAAAAGCATAACAGCTTTTGAGCCTGAAAATTCGGTTTATAACCCCAGAAAGCACATTTCAGAAATATGAAACTCTCCTTCTGCCTCCCCTTCTCCCCGTTATAGACATGAAAGCAGGGAGCTCACTTCAGAGCTGCACCGAGAATCAGTGGCAGGGGTGGGGTTAGCAGGGAGCTCACGTCAGAGCTGCACCGAGAATCAGTGGCAGGTTTGGTTTTGTAGCCACAAGTGTTTCCCACCTGAGACATAGGGCCTCCCATCAAATTACTGGTGAAGTGAAATGGATCAAGATTCATTTCTCTAAAAAACACAAGGGAGTCAAAGCAACAGATGTTTGGAAAATGTAATAGCATCTCTAAGATTTAGCACTTAGGGTTGGTGATAGATGAATTCACATCCTGGAGTGCTCATATTTCTAAGTACATATCCAATATGATGCCAGACAACTGCTTCAACAACTCTCTTCCTTATGGAAATGCAATTTGATGCATTTGAAGCTGCATTTTTTTCATTTTCTCATTGGTCTTCTTTTTTAAAACTTCCTCCTAAGGAACAGTCACTTCTAAGCCTGAAAGGATGTTGTCAGGAGATTGCAATTCATTTGGAAAAGAAGGCTTGAGACAATTTTGCATTTATAATTTTTGAGAGAAAATATAAAGTTCACTGTTAGCCTATTCATTGTAAGCATATGCTCCTTTCAGTTTTTCACAGAAGCTCAGTGTGCCTGAAGGACGTCTGTGTCATGATTTCTTAAGCTGACCTGTACTTAGAGCCTTTTTCTTTGGATCAGATCAATACTTTCCCCTTCAACAATTACCATACCGTCTTCCATCTTTCTGAAGCAGAATCCTCTTGTCTAATGATACAAGATAGCATACAGATCATCGATTATGTTCATTATTCATGCTGCATAGGCTCCATTCTTGTGGGTCTCCCACCTGGAATCATTCACCAATGGTAAACACAATGTCACAAAGCAGTATTTCTAAAATGCAATGTACATGCTATTGCCCATAAATTGTAAGATATGAATGAATAGTTGGGTTTTAAAACAAAAAAGAAACCTGAAACTGGTCTCTAACACCTGAAGCACACCATGAAAGATTAGAAAGGCTCAATTACTTCAGACACTTTAAACTAAGTTTGTCTCCACATCAATCTGCTTCTCACAAATAACTCCTTGATAACATTTCTCTTCACTCCTGAACTGGCTGTAAGCAAGTTAGCTCTAGAACTGGTAACAACTGGTAACAATTTAGCTTCACCAACGCAATACTCTGCCCAAGGTAAATTAATTCTGCTCAGAGCGTCACCTTGCTGGAGCATGACACTAACCAAGTGAAACAGATTGCATGGCCTGCCTGAGTATCTTTGCATGGCATCGCACAATGTCCTGTCAACCTGATCATCCCATTCAGAACAATGCCAGATGGTATGTTTATGTTGGTAGATACACCTTTCATTTCTTTTTTGTCTCTTAATTCCGTCCTGGCCAGAAGCTATTAGATTACAGTAAATATTTCTAATTACCTACATAAACATCTTCATTAATAGAGTAAGATCAGCATGCCTCATTATTAGGTTTTAGTTCCACTTCTTTTGTAATTATAGTAATTAGAAATCACGGAAATGTATTTATTGCATGTGCTACTTCATGCGCAGTTAAGACACCGACAAACCTGTATTTACATTTCTTCAGAGTTTTAGATCATATTCTTAATATTTCTCCTTCTGTGCCATTATTGAAGGACAGTATATAGATACCTTTTGCCCTCCGTCAGCGCTCAGATCTCTCTGATTTACTTAGTTCCCACCTAACTGAATGCATCTCTTGCAAAAGGAAAAAAGAAATTTAAAAAAGCCCTACATATTTATCTTTCTCCAAACCTCATTTTCCCTTGTAAGTTTGTGGAATGCGTCATGCTGTTATGAGGAAATGTGCACGTGGATGCCCTTTTCTTTCACTGTTCAACCTAAGACTGCATTTGCTATAAAAATGTTATTTGCTTTGCTCTCATTTTGCAGAGTTGTGACCTTGTCTGGCATGAGCACGCCTGGCCTGGCCCCTGGAACCTGGCACCTTACACCTTGACCTCTGTTCTCCAACCAACTTACATGTTTTCAGTACCTCTAGTTAATATTCTCCACGATGGAAACCTGCCTGGAAAAGCTGCCACCCAGCTTCCACCACGTAAGCTGTTTCCTTGGCCAGAAGCAATCAATGAAGGAACCACCACATTTCCACTTTGGGAAATATTTTCCTTTACCCTCGTTCCAGAGGCTTCACTTAATTTTTCAGCCTTGGGTACACAGTTGCCCAGTGTGCTCCTTTTAAGGAAAAAAGTCATTCTGCCTTTGGACCACTCATATTTCTGCTCTTAAATCCTGGCAAACTTCCCTTGCCAATTACCAGAATGATGCTGATGTAAAAAAAAAAAAAATCCCTTCCAAGGGTTGACTGAACAGGCAGGCTCTGGGCTGCTGTCCCACAACTCAACCACAAAACCAAAATACCAACCTCAAATCATTTATAGGCCAAATTTAACAACATTTAACATTTCTTTGCCTCCCTAGAATATGTTCTCTCTTGCTAAACAGTGGCCATATAGTTAGTGCTGTGTGAATCCAAGACTGTTGTGTGTATCAAAATGTTTATCCTGCAGCGGGTCTGCATGGGCAAGTCTCTATACCAGTTTACTGGTATAGAGTATAGAGAGTACAAAGAGTATAGAGAGTATAGAGAGTATGGAGACAGCCCCAAAATCTGGGAGAGGTCATGTGCACTCCAGAGTGGCTATACTGGCAGATCCATTTGCCACTCACAGCCTAACCCAGCCGGGATTTTTAGCACAAACTTCAGATTTCTACCCACTGGAATGTGTACATTCCCCATATAACAAGGTAGTAGAGACTGTGCTAGAGTAAACATAAATTTCTAAGCCTCTTCATCTCATGAAGTGCTAATTATGCTCTTCTAAATTACAAAACACAAGCTTAGCAGGGTATTTCAAAATATATTTGTAAAAATACTGTGTGATTTTTCAGCAAATAATCTGAGCTACAAAAACTCAGATGCTGCCTGATTAAGCAGTATACCATGCTTTTGACTTTTACCGTTTTAGAGGAGGAATTTTGCCTTAAAACTAATCGCATGACATGACCCCCAGGTCAGAGTTTTCTTTTCCTAGAAGACTACATGTCTAGTCCCATGCAGCATGCTCATGCTTCAAATTTGCTTGCAGCCTAATGGTAGAGTGGCAGGGAAAAGAGGTCTGCCTAGACTGGCACTGTTGTCTAAAATATGGTTTTGTTTGCAGGGGGCTTTCTTCCATAAACGTAAAATTTATTTTTGTGGTAATCTATGAATTAAAGTTTGAGTCAATGAGACTGCAACATAATAATGTCTGTTGCGAAGCAACATGAGAAGGGAAAATATTTAAAGCATTTTTTCAATTGTTTACTAGCTTAAGAGCTCTTTGCTGTTTACTTATTTCACATGATGAAATGCTAATTGGAAGTGGTATAACTATACTTTCTGCAATTTATCTTGTCTACGGGTTGATGACATGCGAATATCATTGACTATTTTGACTTTTGTCTGAGATGTTTGGTTGGTGTTGTTGTTGAGGAAACAGACAACAATATTAACTGGTATCTGATTTATACTAAGATCATTGTTCAACTTCTGCTCCTTTGGAAGCCACTGAGGATAAATTATTGCAAAGAAGAATACTAAAGTTGTTCTGGTGAAACACAAATTGAATAGTTTGTCAAAAATATGTAAGTCATTTTAACTGATAATGTCCCTGTGAGATTTCTTGATGGAGTAATTATCCTAAACTGATCATTCCTAAATTTAATCTTTTTTTTTTCCATTTTATAGCCATTAATAACAATAACAGTTTGCTGCTTCTCTGTAAGACATTTTCCATTCCATTTTAACAATGTACTTTAACAGCCCTTACATTTATTTAACATTCCTCCATCACATCTAACTTGTTGGGAAAGAAAACACTTTTTTTTCAAGAGGCATTTAGTTCGTCAGTCTTCTGTCATCTTAACCACATGCCCCACACATTCAAGCCATGACAACATCATTGCATTTACTCTGCTCGGCACAGGCTTTCTGAACTTCTTTATTAGATCTTCTCCTGCCTTGGTCAAAAACTTCATATTCATACGTTATTTTCTGAAATGGTGTCTGTTTCTCATAAATGTCCACATATAAAAACATATGAAACAATACATCTGATAATGATTAGTTTATATGTAAAGTTTGCACTTTATAATACTTTTGAGTCTAGAAGTATATCTTTTCTGTCAGTATTCTTATGTACTTGTAATTATTATCAAGTTTGTCAGACTGCCAGATGAGCTCATCCAAAGTTTGTCACTGAAAGGAAGACAATAACTGATCTTAACTACCATTTTTCTTGTCCGTTCCTTCAATTTTTAGTATTTTGTCTCTGTTTCAGTGACCAGGTCATCAACAACAACAAAATTACATCAATCATTTAAATTTATACGGTCGTGATATATATACTTTTTCCTTCATAGCCAGATCAAAGCCAGGTTTTATCTCAGGCAAGATTATGCTTCCTAATCTTTCATTGATTTTCAAACAATAAACACACAGATATGTTTACTCAAGGATGTCAAATTCTATATTTGTAACCGAGACACTCTCAGAAAAAACATTCTATAAAATCTGCTGTCAAAACAAACAAACCGCATGAGTATTTCCGTCTCTTCTTCTGCAGCAGACAAACTAGGCTTGCAACAAAATTTGCCTGTTAAGTCTTTGAGATAGCTTAACATATGCCTCTTTTTACTCATTCGGTGGAAACAGTCAACACCTAGTAAAGCCCGTACAAGCTTGGCGTGGTAGAGCGCCTTCTGTGCTGCCAGGAAGCTGAGAGCTTGGCAGGTCGTAGATTAATGCCTGTGGTGTGCCCCAAGTCAGTGAATTCTAGTGAAAGGGGCCAGATTAATGAAGCAAGCCACTGCTTGAAGGAGGGAGTAAGGTACTAGCACACACGCTACATTAGCAACCCCATTCAGCATGGCCAAGGAATTTTTGTTAATGAAGTTTAAAGTTCAGGCTGAAACTGCAGAGACGATAAGAAGCTCTAGCTGCAGAACCTCCACTGGAGTGAGGAGAAGTCGGTGGCTGAAAATCTCAGCTTCTGTGTTTATGTCCATGTCCACATGCACTTATTACCAAGTGAAATTAATCATAGAAAATTAAGAAAACTATGTTGTTAATAATAGGAGTAGTCCAAATTCCAGTGGCAGTGCTGGGATGTCTGCTATCCACGTTGCATTGCCCCAGTGTTTATACTGACTCTGCGTCAAGAGCGCTCTGCCTGCAGTCACAGCAAGAGCTGCCACTTCTACGTTAGTTAGAAAAGAAGCTCAACTTTGAAAAGCAAACTTTGCTTAGTCAAAATATATTTTCATAGGTTATTTTTTCAGCATTCTCACAGGGATTATCTAAAGGAGTAATGGAGTAGTAGGAAAAAATCCTCTGAGAAGTAGTTTTTAAAACGGCTAATGCTTCTGTGATGAAAGCTGACCAAATGTAAATTCTCTTACATCCTTAGAATTAATCTACACTAATTAACAGGTGTTAGATAAACAAAGAGTTTGCAACTTATATTCTACAAGAAGTTTCACTGGGTTTGGAAACAACCCCCTTAATGCATCATGACAGAGGCAACATGAGACTTCATGCGCCACATTGCAAACATTCCTTTTTTTTCAAGAAAAGTATTTCTTGTGGTACACAAGTGCAGTCGTGTAACAAGAGGGAAAATTTGTAACAAATGATTTAATCAATATGCAAGGAAAACAGTATAGTTCAAAGGCTAATGTTAAAGACTAATATCGAGGTGTAAGATCACAAAAGGAATCTCCTTT